TGATCGATAATTATATTTATAACATAAACACTAATATTTAGACGGGCTCACGGGCGCGGTGGTAGCGTTCCTACTATTGCGCCGAGAGTCGTGGGTTCGATCCCCACCCAGGACAAACATTTTTGTGATTAACAATTACGTCTGTTCTGTGTCTGGGTGTTTTCTATTTATATTATGTATATCTTTGTATTCCCCCCGTTGTTTGCGACATCCGTAACAAAAGTGCCTAAGCTACATACTTCGGAATCGGATCAATGTGTGTAATGTCCGATATTTATATTATATTATATAATATTTATAAAAGCTCAAAAGTTTAAAACTTTTGAGTCAAAACCCCAATGCACTAAAATTATATTGACTGTAGAAGTGTAGATCATAATAAATTATTTATTAAAATACTCATGAACACGGTGTATAAAACTAGAGATAATCTACAAAGTGAGCAAAGTAACACAAAGTGCCTAAACTAGGAAATTTCCTGTATGCAAGGCAGACTAAACTTAACTAACATTAAACTATCACTATAAAAATAAGCTAAAATAAACATATGTAGAACAAAGATTAAATGCAATTTATTAATATAAAATTAATTTAAAGCTACATCTTCACTTACTTACTAACAATAATCGCTGCGTATCTTCGTATGACAGGGGTGTTGAAGAGCTTCGTGAAGAATATTCTTACAAATGTTATAATTAATTTGATATATGCTTAGCTTGTCATTCAGTCTGTTATAAAGAAGACGTCCAAGGAAAAAAAAAGAATCTGGAGTAGAAGGAATATTTTGTTTGGGTATTACAAGAGCAAACTATTTTGGTTCTTCTTTTATTAATGGTTTCAAAGCTGAATGGAAGTATGGTGTGCTGTTTAAAAACTGTGCTCATTATAATTAACTGTTGAACTGTTAGCACGATTTATAAAGTTCGTGAGTGGGTTGGAGCAAGGGATGAAAAATAAAAACTTTGAGTACCGCTCTGTGGGCTCCTTCCACTGTTAACATTAAAGTTTTAGTTACTACTAGTAAAAAAGTGATAAAGTGTTAAGTTTGAAGTCGTTCTACTTTTTATAAAAAGTTTTTACTACTTAATTCCGACAGCGGCTTCGCCCGCGTGGTCTTGTATTTATTATATATAAAAACCTTCCTTCACCTTCCAAATCACTCTATCTATGAAAAAAACCTCATCAAAATCAATGGGCCTGAATCTTGTGGCGACTGGAGAACGGGCTTCGAATCGCTGAGTATCATGACATCCGGCCATTCTCTGCTCATCATTACTTCGGTCGCTCGGAGGATAGCGTACAGCTTGGCTTGGGAGACTACAGGCGGTTCTTATTTGAACTTTCGGGAAGCGATCTCAACCGCCCCTTTCCAACAGGTTAGGGCAGCACCGACTTTCTGTCTTTTTGACCGCTCCAGTTTTAAACCTTCCGTGTATTTCCTTACCAAGCCTTCTCACATTTGCCATTGACAATGGTAAACTCTAGCCAAAGGCTGATAGCCAATGACTAAAGACGAATGTAACTTAACTTCCTCGGATAATACTATCAAATCGGCTTAAACCGGCAAGAATCGTTTGCTTCCGACTTTTAAAAATTATCTTGCTTTAAAATGTGATGAATATACCTTTCAAATTTATGTTTCAACATGAGGGTCTACTCTCAAAACCCTCTAAAAGGTTTTTATACGATAACAGACTCCGGTCTTTTCAAAGTTACTGCATTTACTTTTTTTAACGAATCTGTTATAATCAAAACTTTTTGATATTTTGATTTTATATACATCTAATAACGTATAATAAGTTTAAAATCTAAAAATAAATTTGGCTATTAACATTTCCCGCGAAAACACCAACTTCTGTCATGACGTCGCTATAACGTCACGATCCTCTTAAAGTAATGTTCTATTATGTATAAGGTTCAATTCTCTAAGTTCCGATATGAGTAAGAGGGACGTGACGTCATACACTGTTTGCGGTCAAGTTACAACGAGTATAAAATATTTGTTTTTTCATAATTTAAGCAATATTATAATAAGCATAAAACTTTGACTAACGGTAATAGTCTAAACACTACGAGAAAAAATTAAAATGTATTTATTTTCGTTTATTGTCTACACCCGTATTGTAAATGACTTACAAAATTCAATGTTTGTTTGTGCTAAAGCTTTATTGCTCTGCCCTGCGATTCTGTAAAAATCCGAACCCGAATTAAAATTCACTCTGCCCTGCGATTCTGTAACAATCCAAACCCAAATTCGAATTCACTCATGTGTCCGAATTCTCGTCATTTAGTCATTTAGAAATCATATTGATTCCATTTTTTGTATAAAAATACTAAACAAAATTGATTGATTAAACGTGTCATGATATTTTAATCCTATATCATTTCGAAACTCACTTCACTTATTTCGCGAAACATTATTACCTATACAGGGTTTGAGCGGATGCCGCTTTTTGAAGTGAATTCGAACACCCTAGTGATTTCGAAACCGGGTTTGAAGTTTTACAGAATCAAATCAAATCAAATCAAAATTTATTTATTCTAATCTGAGACACGTATATTCAATCAATTTAGTTTTGTATTTTTATACACAATTGAATTTGTACACTAAATAAAGTGAATTCAGACACATGAGTGAATTCGAATTCGGATCTGCCCTGCCATTCTGTAAAACTTCAAACCCGAATTCGAATCCACTCAGGTGTCCGAATTAACTTCAAAAAGCGGCATCCGCTCAAACTTGAATTGGTAATAACGTTTCGTGGCATAAGTGAAGTGATTTATGAAATAATATAGGATTACAATATCTAAGACACCTGAGTGGATTCGAAATCGGGTTTGAAGTTTTACAGAATCACAGGGCTGCAGTGCGATTCCGTAAAAATCCAGACCTGAATTCGAATTCACTCATGTGTCCGAATTCACGTCATTTAGTATAGAAATATTATTGATTCCATTTATTGTACAAAAATACTAAATAAAATTGATTGATTATTTGTGTCATACATATTTTAATCCTATATCATTTCGTAACTCACTTCACTTATGCCACGAAACGTTATTACCAATTCAAGATTGAGCGTATGCCGCTTTTTGAAGTGAATTCGGACACCTGAGTGGATTCGAATTCCGGTTTGAAGTTTTACAGAATCGCAGGGCTGAGTGGTAAGTGTAAGTTTTACGCTAATGGAGATTTGTAGTTTTTGGTAGTTACCGCTAGGGGCGCTGTACCGGATTCCATACTAAAATCTTAACGCGCTCACGATCGACAGTGAATGTAAACGTCAAAAAAACTTGCACTAAGCACTCTGAATTATTACAAAATCGCAGGGCAATTGTTTGACATTTTACGAAAATTATTTCAGCTGATTTTGAAAGTAGACCACTCGTTTTAGAAATTTAATATTTTAGTTCTAACTTGGTTCTAACGGTTCTTGGACCGGATTTTTGAGCTATTGCATAACATAAAACATAGATTTATCTATATAAAGGCTGTCCTAGAACAGAACGTCAAGCCGAAACGGAGTGACAGGACTGATTGTAACCATCATGAGAAAAATCAGAAAAATAATATATCCCATGCAGTTTGAAAATTATGCGCATTTAAGAAAAACCTATAAATTTGGTCAAACCGTAACCATTTTTCGGTTTTGTAGTGAATATTTATATATATTTTTTTTAAACTATAAATTTCAAATTTTCAAAATTTGTCGACTTTCAAAGGCTCTCCTTTAAAAAAGTTCTAGTGCCATAGCAAGTGCCATTAAAAGTTGGTGCATTTACGAACAGTTGTACAAACGTCCATTAAGGTTTAATGATGCCTTTAAACTCTAATGAATGTCAAATTTGTATGGGTAATATTGCTTTAAACTAATGATAATTTTAATGGATGTTTGTGCAACTGGCTAATAATCAGTTAGTTTCATACTCAACCCTAATAACCCGATATTTGCTAATCCATTTTACTCAGTTTTTTTGATTCGCACAAGCTCTTGGTGCGTTCTTAATTTTCATAAATCAAGTTTCATAAATCATCCTGATTAAATGCGTCAACTTTTAATAGCACTTGCCAAAGCACTCTTGTTCTTTTTTAAAGGAGGGCCTTTGAAAGTCGACAAATGGGACAAACTATATAAAAGCGAAAGGTCACTAACTCACTCACCCGCTCACTCATCAAGAAATCTCAGAAACTAAAAATGCTAGGACTTTCAAATTTTGGGTCCTTTTTAATGCGTAGGTGCTCACTAATACGGGATTTTAAGAATTCAACCGCTAAGGGGGTGATTTAGGGAATAATTTTTTTTATAAAACTTCGTTAGGACTAGGAAATTTTGCATACGGGTTCATTTTAGGACGTAGGTGCTCACTAAAACGGGATTTTATGAAATTCCACCCGCTGGAGGGAGGTTAGTTATTTTATAAATCGATTTTGCACAATAATATGAGTAATATATTGCAAACTAAATTTGATGCACATTCCGGTTTTTGATTAGGATGAAATTTCGCTAACATATATAACTTGGGCGATGGGCAATATTAATATGGAGAGGAGCTGATCTGGTGAATTTGCGACCTTTATAATTAAACTAATGAACCCCATTGATTTAAGGCTATTTTAAGGACCTTGATCCGAAATAAAATGCAGGGTGTGATAATGGAAAGTGACCACTGGGACTTCAATATCGTTGAGTTTGGGCTTGTTTGTTCGTTGGTCCATGGGTTCAAAATAATAATCAACATAACCTTTTTTAACACACACATGAACACGATAAATTTTATGAACATAAATTCCAACTCAAACTTTTGTTGAATAAAAAAATGACTTATATATAACAAATTAACGATTTTTTTGCATCAACAAAAGAAATATTAAATTTGAAATTGAAACGTTTATTTGCCGAAGACGAGGCTGGCTGTATGGCTTAAAGTTAAAGATCTCTTTGCCTTAAATGAATTTAAAACAAAAGCAAGCTTGTTTGTTTGTAAACTTGATGTAAACTTTTCATTTTAGTAAAAATAGTTAATTGCTCTTTTGTTTCTTACTCAAAATTGAATACATTAAAACATTAAGCATTTATTGTAATCAAACAATAATAATTGATAAAAGAAACAAATGAAGTAAACTGACGGTAAGTACTAATGTATTTGTTTTGATAATTTTTCTTATCACGTACCTACGAATTTTAATTTACACAGCCAAAAACAATAATTTTAAATAATACTACCGATTCAATAAATCTTCAATCTTTTGTGTTGGTAGTTAGTCCACAACATAACCTAGAAGTGTCATTTCAGGAAATGCATATTTTATGTACAATCTGCAGCGATCTTGTAAATCAGGCGGAGAACATATTTGCAACCAAATGTGGTCATATTTTCCACTACCATTGCTTATCACAATGGATAGAAAGGTTTGTACAAAATATTATCACTAATGAAAAATTGAGAATATAAAATAAATTATAAATTATTATATCATATTAAATGTGGTTTCTTATTAAATTAAAAATTATTAACATATAATACTTTGCAATATGCTTCTAGATCAAAATCATGCCCACAATGTCGCAACAAAGTAACAGACAAGTGTATGTATCGCATATACCCAACAATATCAAATGAGACCTCGGGAGAAGATATTACCACCTTACAATCCAGACTGGATGATGCCCAGTTGCAGCTGAGACAACAAAAAGTGTGTGTGAAAGAAAAAGATGACAAATTGACCTCCATAACAGCAGAGTTGAAAAAAAATGAGTGTGTATACTTAATCTATTTAATTGAACACCAATCGATTTTTAAACTGAGAATAAAATTGGATTGAATATTACAAATATTATCTTGCACAATAGTGACATCAACATACTCATTCTTTAAACTAATATAATCATATAAATATACATGCCAACAATTTACTATTATATTATTTATTTACTATTACAGTCAATTAAAAAAGAGTATCATAGCACTGACTATAATTTCCTACACATTTAAATATTCTGAGGTGTTAATCTGGTACCAAACAGTTGTGACTTATTATTGATTTCTGATTAATGTGTGTTGTTTATTTTCTAGAGAACTTTTGAAGGCACTGGAAAAGAAATTGGTCAATAGAGAATCTGCAGTATCGGCTTTGAGAGAGCAACTGGACTATGTTAAAATACAAAATAAGGAAACAAACAGACTTAAAGAAGAAAACGAGAGTCTTAAGAAGAATCTACAGACATTAAATGGGTAAGGTGTTTAAAATTTCTATACACATGACATAATGTAATTTCTTGTCTTCATGATTTTCATGTGGTTGGATCTGTCTAGTAATTAAGATATCTGAATGTTTCAGATTACAGAAAGTCTTGAATGCAACTAGTGATGAAGTGGAACAGATGCTAGAAGGATACACAGATGTAAGAACAGTAGCAACATTTGCCACTGCTTTAAAAAGGTCAGGTTTCATGCCTTATGTTGTTTATCTAGTTTGTGTGTAATAATTTATTAATATTGCTATTAATATGAAACATTTTTATTAATTCAATTGTCCTACAATCATTACTTATTAACTATACTGTCAAGGAATATTTTCAATAGTCCCATGAATTGTAAATTACTATTTTATATGATATAAAAATTGAGTATATATTATAATTACTGTTGAGTCAAGCTCCCTTCAGAGAACAGTCAAAACTCTCATCTCTCTAATCTATCTTTTTCTTTCATTTACCACCATTTGATTCTTTTCCATAATTTCTACCTTACTTTTATTTTACCTTGAGAGAATAAAACAGACACAAATAAAATAGATATAATTTTCAGAAGTGAATTGCTAATATGAAATAATTGGGCTATTAGGAAAAACATAGAACTCTTTTCTAATATCTAATTTAAATATCATCTTATTTTATGATGGCAAGGCAGGCTTATATGTATTATTAATAATTTTAGAGCCTTGTGTGAGTCAGAATCAAAGAAAAACGAGACAAGAGACAGACTGCAAGCTGCAAAACAACAAATAGGTGTTGAGAAAAACAATGTTGCTGATCTACAAGCTAAAATAGTGTAAGTAGAAAATTAACATTATAACTTCAAGCAAGATTTCTTACAAAGAATCAAGGAGTACCATTATACCATGTTCTTTACATATGCTTGACCTTTAATTATGTATTGCCATAATATTTGATTCCATAGACAATTAGAAGACAATCTTCATACGGCTGAACGAAAATATCAAGCCTTAAAACAGAAACGGAAAGCGTTTGATATGTTGGTAGATGAGAATGAGGAGCAATGCAAAAAGATAATGATGGCAGCAGTTAAACCACAGATATCACCTGGCCTTAATAAAGCTATGATTATTGATGACAGCAACTCTAGTTTTGTGAGTATAGTATGATATGGCACTTCACTTTGTCCTATAGACAAAGTGAAAGTAAGAAAACAGCTATTCAAATGAACATATCAATTGTAGATAGAGAGATAAAGTAATTTATTTGCATCACAAACACACAGCATCTAAGATTAATTAATCTATTACTGTTATATTATAAAATGAAAGTAAATCAAACCACAACAGTTATGTCATACGTCGACAAAACTGTTTAAAACTTTACAATTTAAATTATTTTGATTTGACTTGATATGAAGTTATCAAAATACCTACAGTAAATAAAAATAAAAAAAGTTAATAGCGTAAAAAATACGATTATTCTTTTTTTTAAATTACGTGTCCGTAACCGTAATTTTCCAAAACACAAATGGGATAAAATTGTTCAAAAAATTTTAATTAGCCCATGATCTATATTTTCACTTTAAAAAAAAAAAATTTTAATATACAATAAAAAATTAAGTAACGCATTTAAACCGTAAGATTATACCTACCATATCTGTAAGGATATGCTTTCAGGTTGGTTCTCAATTACGATTTTGTCACAGCATCGTCCAATTATCATAAGAGTCGTTAATAATTATCAAATTATTATCGACGTATTTTCGATGTTTTAAAATTCAAATAAAAAATAATCTCATTCCCATATTGGATTATTTAAATTGGAACTTGTGTTCCAAGATTCCGATATTGCGAGATTCCTGCCGACAACTAGACCTAGCGACACGACAAAACAGTTTTGTCTGAGGTTTGCGCCGCGTCGCGACAAAACTGACAAAACAAAATCGACTTACACGATTAACTAATCGACAGTTCTGTCGACGAACGACAAAACAGTTTTGTCCCTAGTGAGCTCAGGCACTTACAGCGACGCAAATATGCAGAAGTACTTTTGAATCCTCACTGACACAGAATATAAACTCTTTTATTTTTTTATATTGCCCGCTTTCAGAAAGCATAATGTCATCTATGTGACACCAGAGTAGCTTTATAATATAAATCTACTACCTAATAAATATTTAGTTTATATTATCACAAACTTTATGACTATTATATACTTTTAAATATGTAAAAACCCCTAACTTAATACAACAATAGTTAAATTGACTGTTTTATTTAGAATGGTTATTCAAACGTATGGACACCACGTGGAATCCACAAGAATGGGATCAGACTATGTTCTGCAACAATATTTTAGTGGGTAGTATCACTTTCATGAGTGGCATCATCCATAAAAGTGATACCAATAACAAGTATTATTAAACCTTACCTTTATTGTACATATATAAACAAGTACATAAGTGTACTTAACATTTAGAGTAGATTTTAAAATGTGTATATTGTTTACAGCACACACAAGTAAAGAAAATAGAGAACTCGGAATCGCCATATTTAAATCTGAAGCAAAGTAGTCTCGCTCTTAGTGCTTTACAACAGAGACCAATTCATAGTCTGCCACCTGACAAACTAAAGGTATTTTCATAAGATTTTTAGGTTAACTAACATTTTTATAGCGAGAATATGTGCTATGTTTATATATTGCGTAGCTCTATGGCGTAGTGGATGATCGCCACAGCACAATATCGTTCATATTATGCAAGTTTCACAAAGGTCGATCAAGGCATGGGTGACCCAAAAATTAATATCTCAGACTATTCCGTGATTCAAAACGCACGTCAAGCGGTTGGTCTTGGCTTCATTGGCAGTCGTTAATACACTCCAATCCTCATTGTGCGATCGTGGAAGATCATGGCCCACTCTTCCTAAACATCTACAAGGAAGGCCTGAGCCCCTGCATTGGGGACGTAAAAGGGCTGTTGATGAATATGTGTTATATTGCGTTCATTAGGGAATATGCACATTTTTGGAAAATGGTTTTATATGATAATTTACATCGATATATAACTGTAAAAAAATACCCGGCACCGAAAACTAAAATTTTGTAACATTAATAATTGATGAAAATAAGTAATAGCTACGAGAAATTTAAACACCTGAATTTTTGGCGCGCTCGTCGTGACGTCAAAGTACACGACTAGAGATATGACATTTTAAATCAATATGCATTTTGAGCGATTGATTATTATTCAATTACCCAAATCGATTAACAACTAATCGATTTTTTAAAGTATTATAGACTTTTTTAATGAATCATATAATTTACCAAATTGGTGAAATAAAAATAAAAGCCTAAAACATCATTGAAATTGTAATTAGTTGTTTATTTTGCGACATAATACATTGATGTTATCGCATCGATGTTAACTTTTTGTAACAACGACATCCTTATACGTATACATTTTCGTCACATCCGCTCTGACAAGTAGCATGGAGTTTAAATATTTTGAAGTTACCACATTTATTTTGTACTTTTTAATAATTATTTTCAAGACGAAAACGAACTAATGTTGAAAAATATTTAAATAGACTTTATTCTAAAGCAATAACGATTGTAATAAAATATCATCATCATCACCAGCCCTTTTACGTCCCCACTGCAGGGGCTCAGGCCTTCCTTATGGATGGTTAAGGAGGATGGGCCATGACCATCCCGCTGGCCCAATGCGGATTGGAGGGTATTAACGACTGCAAATGCAGCCGGGACCAACGGCTTAACGTGCCTTCCGAAGCATGGAGTAGCTCGAGATAATGATTTTTTTGGTCACCCATCCCGTGACCGACAATAGCGAAAGTTGCTTAATGGCTACGATCGCGGGCCGCGGCGCTTATCCACTACGCCACCGAGCTACTCAATAAAATATATAATAAAATATATTAAATCCTTTTTTGAATCAGACGCATATTCCCTATTAAACTAATAATTTTTATTGCTTAAATAATCAAATCAGTTCAACGAAATTTGCAAATTTCTTTAATGTACTGAGATGTGAATATTTAAAAATCTCGATTATACAGGGATAAACATTTACTAGACTGTGACATCAATGTTAACTAATTCGTGCTCGTCTGGTCGAACAAGTGTGACAAAGACAAAAGTAGTCTCTAAGTTTATAAAATAAAATTTTACTGTGTCTATTTAGAATTCTACAAATTATGTAAAGAAAACAAAGGTACTAAAATTTAAATTTTCTTTTCAGCCTTCAGAACTTGCTTTCATAAATGCAGCAAAGAACGCAACAAAGCGGCCTGGAATAGAAAACATGCCAATCACACCTCTTAGCATCTTCCATAAGAAAGAACCAGCAAAAATAGAACTCTCCCAGAAGGACGACTTGAACATATCACAGTTCAACATATCGTATGACGGCCTGGGTGGTCATTCTAAATTAGATACTTTTCCCGTGCCGAATAATAGACCACCATTAAAATCATGTGTCCCCAAATTGACTGCTAAACATAAGTTAAAACGACCTAATCCGCCGGCGGGTAGTCAAGATATAAGCAAATTATTAGGGAAAATAAGTAATAAATGATTAATTTACATTCACTAAGTATTAAAGTGTTGGAAAGTATCAATACTCATGAATTACCTTGTAAATCAAGCGTTTTTGTAAGTTATCTAGTAAGAGACCGTAATTCACCTGTTATTACTATATTTATTTAAAAATAATTGTATTATATAATAGAATAAATATAATATTAATTTCATATTGTATTTTTTTATTAATTTAAATCTAAACTTGGTTTTTGGCGATAAGGTCACCGTTTGTACTGTACAATTTAGTAATAAAGTAAAAAAAGTTTTAAATCATGTTATGTTAAGACCATGCCTTATGTGTTGGGCCTACTCTATAAGGAATTGTCTTTGAAAATATCATCATCACATCATCACCAGCCCTTTTACGTCCCCACTGCAGGGGCTCACGCTTTCCTTATGGATGGTTAAGGAGGATGGGCCATGACCCTCCACGCTGGTCCAATGTGGATTGGAGGGTATTAACGACTGCAAATGCAGCCGGGACCAACAGCTTAACGTGCCTTCCGAAGCACGGAGTAGCTCGAGATAATAATCTTTTGGTCACCCATCCCGTCACCGACCCTTGCGAAAGTTGCTTAACGACTACGATTGCGGGCCGCGGTGCTTATCCACTACGCCACCGAGCTACTCTAGCTACCGAGCTACGAGCGAAAATATAGGTAGATAATATACACAAAAATTATAATTATTCAGAATGATTTATATCAAAGGTAAGCAAACTAAGGAACTGAAGTCCTTGTGTTATGGAAAGCAATCACTCCGACCCAAGCAAAATAAAAAAAAATACTTTTCACTGAAGAAAAGACCCGACTGGAAATCAACTGGCGACAACTTAAAACCATTCGGCCGAATGTAATCCAGAAGTCCCGTAAATTGCTAATGCGCAGAAATCTTGTCTAAATAACACACGCGTGACTTCGTTTAAAAATAGACAGTTTAGATACACAAAATTCTAGTGATAAAATATTTATTAATTAGTAAAAATTATATAAATAATCCCCAAAATAATGTTACTACTCTATGTTATTTATTGCATAAATTTTTGGAAAAGGTAAAATTAAGTATATGTTAGTAATGAGGTATATGGAAAATAAATCAAAAATATCGTTTACTGCGTAATAAAGCGAAAGCAAACGGAAAGGACATTTATTTTTTAATAAACGTCCTTTCCGTTTGTTGTAGAAACAAGTAATCATGAAATGAGAGACATTTGATATATTTATTTTTTATAAATTAGATTTACTTGTAAAAATTAAGTAATAATAAAACTTCACAATAACAATAGAAAACAAAAAAAAAAACAAAAATTTTGTGTGATCTCAACACAACCCAAATCAATAATAATCATCAACCTGTGTTTATTTGTTAACGTAATTCTTTTTTTTTTTCTTTTTAAAATAAAGGTATAAGCTTAATAAATACCGTCAAAATATTTACATAAATAAAACAGTTATCGGACTTTGAAGTTGCGCTCGCTAGAATAATTTCGCTTCCCGCGGTACCTTAGTGTGTGACGTCACGCTACCGAACATAACCGCCCGTCTACGTAAAAGTAGGCATTTAAAAAAGTTTTGCTCCCGAAATCAAACGAGATGTCGCTACGGTACTTTCTTGATTTCTCCATGATAACCCTTCCGGTTTTCTTTCATGTATAAATTAATTTTCAAAACTCAATAAACATCTCATATTCTATGTGTGATTTTTCGTTTTTGTATTGATATCTAAGTTTCGAACTTTGCAAATTTCAGTTTTTAATATGTTTTTTAAAAGTAGCATATTGGTTTCTGTTTACAGTTGGGCACCTCTTGCTTTCTTCAGCAAGAAACTAACTCCTCGTCAGAGTCAGTGGCCAGTATATTGTAGGAACTTTTGGCAGTGTAAGAAACTATACAACATTTTAGAGACATTTTAGAGACATTTTAGAGACATTTTAGAGGTTTTTCATTGTACCATTTACACTGACCATAAGCCATTGTTATACGTAACAATGTACGTACAACGCCGAGATAAACTTCCTCCCTCTCAACTGAAACAATTGCCCTTTATTAGTCAATTCACGACTGACATAAAACACATTACAGGGGAAGAAAATGTTGTCGTTGACGCAATCGCATTAATGCTGTAACTTTTGAAAAAGATTACGAAGCCTTTGCCAAGGCACAGCAAAGAGATGAAGATTTGACGAACATACGTAAAACCTCGTCTCTGCAACTGGAGCTCATTCCAATTCCAGGAACCACTATCACATTATTATGTGATGTGACACTTCCACTAGCAGATCAAGACCTTATCTAACCACATATCCGTCGATCTGCATTTGATCGCTATCACCAACTTAGTCATCCTGGTGCACAGGCTTATTTCCTTCTTGTTTCAGCGGCTCATTAACTCCTGTGGTTCCAAAAGAATTCGCATCACCAGGTACCACCCATGTGCCAATGGCACGGTAAAACGAACCCACCGCCTACGTAAGACAGCACTCATGTGTCATGCTGATGCGTGGACTAGTCTATTTAGAGTCTATCGTCCTTCTTGAAATGCGAACTGCTTTTAAAAATATATTAAAGCTTCATCCGCTTCCTAGCGAGTTTATGAAACCTGTGTCAGATTTTAGCAGTTCCGTTATGGAATTAAGAAAATAAATGGAGACAGTGCCCGCATCGCGTCATGCCAAGTCAAACTCTTTCATATAAGGATATGGCTTCGGCAACTCATGTGTTTCTTCGTTATGATGCAATTTGCAAATCCTTGTAGCCTCCATATTCAGGTCCCTATCGCATCCTTGAAAAACAGAGGTAAACGGGCATGTTAGATCTGTGTGGAAACCATGTCACTGTAAGTTTAGACAGAGTCAAGCCTGCTTACGTTGAGGATGACCCTTCTAGTAACGACGCTTGTTTGCAAGCTGCTCTTGAAGTTCCTTCGGCTCGTTTTCTTCCAGCTGCGTTTTCAACTCAGCTCTCTACCGCTTCTTTCAAAGAATACTTATTATATATATACTCTTATGTCTACATGTTTTTTATTTCACAGAGAATATATTTATTCTCAGCGAGTAAGTTAGCAACGCAAGAAAAGAACTTCCAGTGTTCTATCAATTATATAATTTGTGTATCTAAGAAGCGTTTGATTTATAATACCGAATCATCCAACTTAACGTTGACATCTAGTGAAGTGCTTTTTAATGCTTTCTTTTTTTTTTAAATACCTACTTCCTCCTTTGCGGGTACTAACTTAACATAATTTAATTTCTGATTCTGGAACGCATTGGTTGATTTGACATGGATTTGACATTGACATTTCGCTGTTGTTGACATTGTTGACGTTTGTCGTTCGCTGTCTGATGATCGGTATCCCACAAGAAGAAAGATCGTTTTTATTTATAAATTCACACGTTTATCTATTAATAAACCCTACTCATTAGTTTTAGAACACCGCGTGAACACATCTGGGGAATCAAAGGCGCTCTGTATATATTATTCGCCTAGAAAGTGCGTCACAATAACAAACTTAATACTTCCAAAACTTCACAGTTTTCTTTAAATTTTTGATACAAACACATATTTGTTTTGAATATAATTGAATACAATGTAATAGTGTTGTGTTTAAACTCGGCTATCTCTTTGAATCAGTGTACAGACCTATTTTAGAGTGTGAAGTGATATGTTGATAAGATTATGATTTCGTGTTGTTCTTTCCATTAGAGGTTCGAAAAATGTTAACATCTCGTCAAAGAAGCAATAATAAATATAAATGCATAGTGTAAACTTCTTTTAATGTATATAATCAATTCTCGATATTAGTAAGTTTGTGGTAAAAGTATATAAAAATACTTCAAAATGCCAGGCAAAATAAAAGTGAAGGTACTAGCTGGCAGGAACTTGCCCGTGATGGACAGAGCTGGTGACACCACGGACGCCTTTGTTGAGATCAAATTCGGTGGTATTACACACAAGACTGATGTCTGCAGGAAGTCTCTTAACCCTCAGTGGAACAGCACTGAATGGTATAGATTTGAGGTAACAATAACTCAAATTAATAATTACTTTATTATTTAATGTTATTTTGATCTGAATTCTTAAGGAATTATATTTAAAAAAATAACAAGTTTGTTTTTATCATAAATCGATGTTTCAGCATTTGGCAAGGACACAAGTCTGATATCATGAAGTGGGAGTATTTTTAAATGCCTGTCTGGTCTCTGTCTACTATTCTTGAGTTTTATTAATATGTAACTTGACATATTAATGGAATGAAATGTGTTTATTGACAATTAAAATTTCATAGTTAAGATTTTTACTATTGTCTTAGATAATGTTTTTATATTAGTAAATGTATTATTATATAATTATATAGTTATTAATACTGTATGATTTTTGAATATTTGAAAAATAAGAGTACCTTTAAAATACACATAATATTTATTGATAACTAAATTGACAAAATTTATTCAGTTTTAACATATTTTAATTTGAAATGAGGATGTTAAATTCAAACAGTAGATTTTAGATTCTATTTGTCATTTATCTCTTTATCTTTTGGCACTTGTATGTGTGCTAGTAATATCAAATCTTAATATAGTAAACTTAATCTACTAGATTCATTTTATAAATGCTGAAATGTACATACACCTTATTTTAAATTAGAATAGATAAGTAGGTAATTATAATAATAAAAATAAGCCCAAAAGTACATTTAACATGTTTGGTAGGCAATTGCTCAAGTTAAGCAAGTATTACAAAGTAAATAGGTAACCAGAAATTATTTTTTGAGCTTTTCCATACTGAAAACCCTTATAGCAATAAGTCTTGGCTACATCTGCTAACACCAACCAATTTTCATAGGGACCACTTGCCTTACTAGAATTATGTACTCTAAGCAAAAATACACATTTCTGTTATAAGTTTAGAAATTATGAACCATTTTAACTTATAAAGACTTAACAAAATTAATTTTATGGCACTAATTTGGTACATATTATACTTTAAAAAGTAGGTATAATATATTTAAATTAGTTACATAAAACATAACAACTTTAATTATAACAGCTATAAATATAAACATACAAATACAAATAACGAAGATATTACAATTGCCCACCCATATGTTTTCACAACCATATCACTGTGTGATGTAAGTAGGCTAGGCTTGAATTTGTAGGGAGAAATTTCAGCTGACTAGCAGCAGCTCCATAACCATAGCACCATATCTCCGAAACTATATATCACAGACATGCTGTTACTTCTACATTATTACTCAGATATTAATGGATTATTTATATTTCTAATAAAAAAAAAATGTCAACTAGCCTATTGCTTTGTAGTAGTAGACCTGTAAACTTATAGTAGACGCATTATTTAATTGATGATGATGATGAATAACAAAGTTTTGCATATTGATTTTTATATTTTCACATGCACTATCCATAAATGAAACAACTTTTAAACAGTTTTATTTAGTTTTATTGACCTTATGAACCCTTTGCAGGTTCTATGTTCACATAAGACCAAGAAGTTGATTGTCTTTTTAATTAAGATCATAGGGAGCAATTTAATTTTCTTTTCGGTGTTTGTTTCGATAGTTCTTTTCAGACAAGACTCCCAAATTTGGAACTGGTGGTAGCTTATGGTAGCCAGGAGTAAATAAATAATATAATGAATGTAATATTGCTATTCCATTTTTTTTGTATTGTGAATGTGTTCAATAGTAATGTTTTGAAGGTAGTTATACTCTTAATCAAAAAGACAATTAACACCTTAGCCTTATGTCAACATGTAAAGGGTACGAAACGTCAATAAAACTAATTAAAAACTTAATGAAACCATTTAAACCAGTTGTTTTATTTAACAGTTGTATGTTTAACAATTGTTAGCAATTTTGGAAATCTCAGTGCTCTTATACTTAACTTCTAGGTGGACGAATCGGAACTCCAAGATGAGCCTCTACAACTTCGACTAATGGACCATGACACATATTCAGCAAATGATGCCATTGGAAAGGTTGTTATTAGCCTCTCACCACTCCTAGCTAGGGAGGCGAATAATACAAAGGGGACCGCTGCTCCTCCAGGGGGTAATTATAAATTAACATTGCATTTATTTGTTGTATAGTTTGTATTTAAGATTAGTGATTTTAGGTGCGTCTAAAATCACTAACTTTGTTTTGCATATGGAGGGTGTGTTGCTACTTCAGTCAAAAAATCAAGTGAAGATAAGTGAAAGCTTTTGTAATACCAGAGTTAAGGTTAGTATCAGGGTTATTGCGAATATCAGCATCAGCAAAAATCAATCCTGATTCAAGTCGAAACGGTTTTGTTAAAGGAGAACCGTTTTGCCTTTTTCTGTGGTGAAGATAAGAGCGTGCGCAACTCACGTGTTAACTAAAAAAAAGTTTAAAAACAAGCTCTAAATTTGCTTGAAGCTGTCAATTATTAAATACCAGCTGTTCCCGCGACTTCACCCGCCTTAATTATCTATTTGTCTGTTTTGGGAAATGTATTTTAAAACTTTCACCCTGATTATATTAACCTAAATAAATATACGTTTATAATTATAAAACACTACACAAACTCTTTTCGTACTTTAGGACTTGTTATTAAAGGGGAATAATCTTATATATTACAAAATATTGCTAATAAAAATATATTATATGGCAATAAAACCTTCATTATACCTGCTATGAACATATATGCACAAATAACAAAAATATGTATTACAGAGATTGCCCAGATGCCCATTGTTTACACTACCCTTGCACTGTGTGACGTCAGTTAGTGCCTTTAATTTGTTGGGAGCGTTTTCGGCTGACTAGCGGTCGTTCCACAAACATAGTACCGTATCTCCAGAAATATTAATCGCAGATATTATTTTGCTTCTTGCATTATTTTTCTGATAATAACGGACTATTTATTTACAAAATAAAAAAAATTGTCAACTAGCCTTTTATAAATGCCTTTCTGTATTTAGAAAATGGTTGCCAGTAACTATGGATAATTATCAGGTATTTATGGGATAATTACCATGATCGACATAAAAAAGTTATCTTGATAATTACGAACCTTGATATTAAATCATCATTTTTTTAAATTGTTTCGCGAAAACAATGAGTTATGTTAAATTACGAGCCATGTCGTTACATTTCGTACGGTTGCATTCCCAACATAGACGTTGACGTTTAGTTTATTGAAATGTGACGTCACACGATCCTCCGTCATAAACGCCGTGTTTCGGTTCTTGTAATTCACAGATTTTGCTAAAATAATATATATTTACAATTCATTTATAACAAAAAATACTACTTATTATTGTTGAGGTACATATAAGTTACCATTTACAAATTTATTTATAACTGTGAAGTGGGCAAATATAGCTACTCGCTTATTTTATAGTTGCCTGTAGGTGAAAGACTTTTTAAAATCAAAGAGACAAATATTTCGTCTTCATAATATATATTTATATGTATGTATATATTAGACTTATAACATGAAGACAAATTACTATATTTCCTAAAAAATTTGTAGTATGCTATTTTTTACTTTAGTAATTACATATTAAGGTAATATGGTTGGTTTATGTTGGGGTAAATAAAAGTATAAAATAAAAACAGAGATTTTTGTTCTCTGTAATTAATCAAACAGAATTCTATATTTAGGATTCTGTTTGATTAATTAATGCTTTTCCGTTACTTTTAATTTCTGTAATAGGTTTATGTGCTCTAGTTTTAGCATCAAAACAATATTGCATCTGGTAAAGAACTGTTAGCTCCACAAAATAATAAAATTGACACTTTATTATTGTACCGCGTCTTCGGTAAATAAATACATTATTCTATTCCTTATGTCACAGTTGTGATAAAAATAGATGTTTGCTAAATTCTACTATAGATCGCCAACGTGAGACATACAGATTGTTGCGTGTGTGCCTCGAATAAATATATGATACTGCCTACGCCGAGAATTTAAGATCGCAAGTTTTTAAGCCATCGTCGATTGCGATGCCTTTTGTGAATTTTTTATAGTAAAACGATAATGGAAACCGTTATTTATCTATTGTAGTCGCCTTTTGCAAATATATTGTACATACAGTTAATTTTTCCAAATAAAAACATCGCTAATTCGTGTAATAATTAATTAAAAGCCTATAATAATTAATGAAGTTTGGCGATGTATGGTATGTTAAAAATAAATTCCCTGCTGTATTGTTAGTGGTTAGATTAAAAACGACTGAATTTGATTCAGCTTTGCAATCATAATTTACTCCAGAATTATATCTTTACCATATGTGACTCAGTGAATCGATTTCATACACTTTCTAGCACGTTCTAAGTATAATCACGTGGTTAGGACGTCTGATCATAAACGTTATAGGAATGTGCCTGACAAAACAAAAAATATTCTGCCACGCACAATGCGCTTTGATAGAGGTAAAATATTCTAAAAGAGTATCTATTCGTATTAAACAAAGAATATATTTTTGCCTGGCATGATAGCACGTTTTATGCTTCACAAACGGCTATTAAATGATTTACTTACGAACGAGCTATACTTTTTTTTATGGGGCAGACGAACAGACGGATCACCTGATGGTAAGAGATTACCATCGCCCATGGACACCTGCAACACCAGCGGGGCTACAAGCGCGCTACCGGCCTTTGAGGGACGAATATGATCATAGGGAGGGAAGGGTTGAGGGGTAGAGGGAAGGGAATAGGGAGGGGTTGGGCTGCTGATTCGATATCTTCGTCGTTTCAGATTTCTTTATTGCCAGAAGTTCAATTAAGCACTAAGTTTGAGATCTAAGCAATGGATGTGATAGTCGATTAGTTGCACAAACGTCCTTTAAGATTTAATGACGCCTTTAATACGAATGTCAAACGAATGTATGGGTGTATGTCGATTTAAAGTAATGAAAAACTATGTGTTTGTCTATGTCAAACGAATGTGTGTCGATTTAAACTAATAAAAAACTATCTGTTTGTCTAATGTTTATTTACAAACCAGGTGCAGTGATGTCCGGATGGATTCCCGTGTTTGACACTATGCACGGCATCCGGGGCGAACTGAACGTCATAGTGAAAGTGGAGTTGTTCTCGGACTTCAACAAGTACAAGACGTCCAGTTGTGGAGTCCAGTTCTTCCACTGTGAGTGATAAGATAGTCTTTTCTATATCTTCAAGCTATATCCTTTATGCGATAGGTAGAGGACCGAGCGTGTCAAGGCGCTGCCCTTAAAATCCAAACCCTATCTGTCTGATTATATGAATTTGAAAAAAATCAGCACAGGGGTCTAAGTGATAATTTTTTAAGTATTTTAAAAATATTGTAATATATGTTCCCATTGTACATACTTCAATACGCGTCGCCCCCAGGTGTTCCAGCACCTGACCTCCGCACTGGGTACTAAGTGATTAATACCGTCAGTACTTTAACATACTGACATATCAAGATTAAGAAAACTCTTGCACTTTTTTGATACTCTTCCTTTCGCATTCTAGATATTGCCCTTTTTCAATTGCTCGCTGTTTTATGGCTTCTGAAATCACACTCCGATAAATTGGAGGTGGAGAAAAGATGAGTCTTCGCTGTCTCAGTCTTACCGGAAAAAATAATCAACAAAAAAGCTACTGAAATAATGTTTACCTAAACAGCGTGTGGTAAATTTTGGACGCCCTCTATATTATATACATATTTATATATGTATATGGTAATATTCAATAAACCATATCTGTCTATAGCTTTACATCGACATTATCCTTAAGACCAATTTTACATTTACAGAAAAAAAATTATTCGTATTTAGAAAATCACATGTGATTAAATTCGAATCTGTGCAGAAGTATGTATGTAATTATGATTTAAGAGATGGGATTCCATTCAGGTACTTGTGGGATTTTTGAAACATTTTAATATAAATTGATCGAATATAGTAAATCATATTTCCAAGGTCCAATGATTCCCCCCGGCTACCGGGCGAGTTCTATCCACGGATTCGTTGAAGAGTTGGTGGTGAACGACGACCCTGAGTACCAGTGGATAGACAAGATCAGAACGCCGCGGGCATCAAACGAGGCGAGACAAGTCGCCTTTATCAAACTCAGCAACCAGGTATTGCTACAGAACCGTCACATATAGATCCTGGGCTCTTCCCCAAAAAGTGTGGGTGCCTCTTAGATCATTTAAGTTGTTATGAGTCAGAAACAAAACAGTAAAGAACTTCATGGATGTGTACAGCCCCAAAACATTGTAATAATAGTTTTTTTTTTTTTTTAATCTTTGTTCAATACTAGAGATGGGCAAAATGAAATCATGATTGAAGATTAAACGTAGTAATCGATTTTACTATTTATTTGTATATTCATTACAAATCATCATCATCGGCCTTTTACGTCCTCACTGCAGGGGCTCAGGCCTTTCTCGTAGATGGTTAAGGCTAAAGGCCATGAATGTTCACGCTGGCCCGATTACGATTAGAGCGTATAAACGACTGCAAATGCAACTGGGGCCAACGGCTTAACGTGCCTTCCGAAGCACGGAGTAGCTCAAGATAATAATTTTTGGTTACCCATCCGGTGACCGACCATTGCGAAAGTTGCTTGACAATAACGATCGCGGGTCACAGCGTCTATCTACTACGCCATAATCTTGGGTAAATGTTACTAAATGTAATCGTGAATCGATATTACATTTTGCTTATCTCTGTTCAATACATTAGGTACAGCGTCTAGTCGGTCTGAAGGCGGCGGAATTGGGCGCTAATGCCGTGGTGGGATACCAACAAGACTTCGATTTAGAAGGGGAAGCGGGCGTTGTAGCTAGAGCCGTTGGTATGTATAGATCCCTCCTATCTATCTATATCTTGACGCTGTATCCCTTATGGGGTAGGCAGAAAGGACAATTATAAAATTTTCGTGGAAAGAACGTTTTTTCACACTCTCCAGTCTCCCAATTACCTCTATAGAAAAAAAAAAAAACATACCATAACGCCACTCCATTGCGACGTGAGTTAAAGATAAAAAAAATACACAATTCTCATTCATATTATAATTTTGTTAGGTCATAGCGTAGGTGACTAAAAATGTATTATTACGAGTTCCTCCGTCCTTCAGAAGGTACGTTTAGCTGGGTACATCTGAGTATTTAACATCCACCTGTGAAGATCGAGATGATACATTTTTGATCACCCATCCTATGACTGGTATTTGCGAAAGTAGCTTAATTTTCGCATCGTATGCCAAACACGCTAATCATTTTGCCGTCGAACCTACGAGGCTGATGATTTTATAGTAAACTAGCTTTTGCCCGCGACTTCGTCCGCGTGGTAAAGTTACTTTGAGCAGCATTTCTAACGAATATTTATTTATTCGTTCCATTAGGTACTGAGAGGTTCAAACTAATACATTTACATCCTCCATCATCCCTTATTTTATCCCCACGGGGGTTGAATTTATCAAAATCCTTTTTAAGCGGACGTCTTTATCGTAGTAGCTCCGATCTTTAATTTCAGTTCAATCAGCCGAAAATCTAAGAAGATTTATACAAACTTTTATCCCATATTTTATCCTCTTAGGGGTGTAATTTAACAAAATCCTTTTTTAGGGAATGCCTACGTCTTAGTTGCTTTATGCATGCAAAGTCGCAGCTCGATCGGCTTAAAATTCACTAAGTTTCATACAAACGTTCATCCCCAATTTTATCCCCTTAGGGGTAGAATTGATCAAAATCCTTTCTTAGTGGATACCTTCGTCATAACATCTACATGCATGCCAAATTTCAGCCCGATCCGTCCAGTTGTTTGGGCTGTGCGTTGATAGATCACTATGTCTTTGAGTTATATATATTATAGTATGCTTGGTAAAGTTAACTGACATAGATACTGCCAGATTAGTATACTTCAGTTACTTTCATAGTGTAATGTCGTACGGAATCCTATTGTGGGGAAATGCTGCCGACATACAAACAATTTTTGTGCGTCAAAAAGAGCAATTCGATCAATTTATTATCTTAGGATTAGGGACTCCTTATGGGAGAAATTTAAGGAAATAGACATTATGACTGTTGCTTCTCAATACATATACGAAAACTTAATGTACGTTCGTAAAAATATTAGTTTGTTCTCTATAAAAAGTGATGTACTGTATATTGTATATTTTAATACAAGAAATAAAAATAAATTAACGGTGCCTGTCACTAGACTGCAAAAAGTTAATAACTCATTCAAGGGTCTTTGTGTGCGCTTCTACAATAAGGTCCTAAGCAAAATACAACAATTAGATATCATGCAGTTTAAATCTATTATTAAAAAAATACTTATTAATAAAGCTTATTATAACGTATCCGATTATATAACAGATAAGAACGCTTGAACTCGAGATGATCCAGCAATCAGATAGGTGATTACTTCTTAACTCATTATCTTGTTTTCATTATTATTAAATGATTATGTTATCATTATAATACCATAGTTTTTTTTCTCTATAATGTATTGATCTGGTAATGACATGGTTTTTGTAAATGTCATTACTCTTATTAGAGCTGGTGACTTTCTTGCTCGTTTTTCTTATCAGCCAAAAGACATCCTGAACGAGTGGTAGGGAAAAAAATGTTGAACGATTCAAAAGTACTTTTAAGAAGTCTATTTGAATAAAGATTATTTTGACTTTGACTTTGAAAGGTACTGCGGTCAGCATCACGCCTTTGCCGCTACCCATCCAACCGTCAAGCGTCCCACCGTGCACACAGCAGTGAGTATACACACTCTAGTAGTACATCATCTTAACGCACATAATACTCTATGCATTATATATTATACATAGGTACATATTATATTCACTAACGCGCTTAAACCAGACAGTGTATTGTTTCTGAAAGCTAAATAACCAACCAAGTGTCAGTCGTAGGGCACCGAGGGTTCCTTGCAATTGTAAAAGTTTAAAACCATTATGTTTATATATTCCGTAATTTATTTTTAAATAACAACTTATTTTGTACCTTTTCAAAATGTTTGGCACAATAGTTTCAAAGCAAGACGGAGGTAATGATCATATTTGTTATTTTTTTTTATCAAAACATACTTTTAGTTACTGAATAACTTCTAAATTTTGTATTAACATTTCCTCACAACACTATAACACAGTTCAACTATTATTGTTAGATTTGTTTTTATTCATCGTAATATTAAATGAGTTCCACTGTAATTATATTTTTGTAAAATGTAGAATTTATTTTAGATATTATTTGTATATAAATAGTTATATTAGCTTTAGTTCGACAATTATCAGATCTAGCTTTCGATGTCGTACTCACTGTTTTCACATAGTAAATTCTAATATTTAAAAATCGGGTTCCGTACCACCGCACAATATTAATAAGAGTTATCTTAATACTATCTGCAGTGATGGCGCATTTACGATACATATTCTATTAAAATTTGAAATATTCCGAAATATACCTATTACCGTTCAAAAGAAACCCTGTAATAGAACATTGTACATAATGAATGCGAAAACATATTAATAAGTTCCCGTTGGCATCGGGTACGGATCCCTAAAAAGTCCCTCTAGCTTTAAAAACTCGTTCAGTTAATTCACAATTACTAATAAATATAAATTTGCATGGTTTGTCGTGTGCTCCGCTTAATGTGTTTGTAAAACAATAGACAATTGAAAAAGTACTTGGACATTTTAGCGACAGACGATGACACCATCACTGACCTTAATCAGTATTATCAAACTCACCAAGACGAGTTGCAAAAGCTTCTAACAATTCTCAATCCCAAAACACCGTCACTTTTAGATGACACTGATAATGCTGAAGATGACGATAAAAGTATTTTGACGAGACAATCTAGCATTAAGAGTTACGCTGGCTCTGTTTCCATCTATCAGGATGATTACATCTCCCAGAAAAGTCTTATGCACATAACCGATGATCAAACTGATTTAAACAGACTTTTAAATCGAGTCGATGAATCAGGATCGTCGAATCCTTTAAAGAAAATAAAGAAATTTAAAACGAACTTTTTCCTTAAGAGACTCGGTAGTATGCGATCTAAAAGATCAGAGAAGCAAGAGGATCAAATATCTATAAAGTCGAATTCATCAGATGCATCAAAGATATCTTTAGTCGACATTAAGAACGAAATTAAAAAGTTGAAGAGATTAAAGAAACCAAAATTCCGCAAAGCCTTTGTGAATGTCGATGATCAAGGAATAGGTATGGCTTCCATTCTCGCTCGATCAGTTATTCATGCTCACACGAGTCTCGCTTGTATAGCAGAGACCCAAGATTCTGAACATTCACCAAATTCAACGTTGAGACGCACTAGTGAATCTGAACCTACCATTAATAAATCTGATGAAGACAAAACGAGAGTAGTGAATATTAATAGTTCCCAAGACGTCACTACTAGTCCATCGGTTGCTAAAACCATTCCAGAGATACACTTTACTTCCTTGAATAATGTTAATTCTGAAGACGTGGATTTGCCAATTCGAAAATCATTATCAGAATCATGTCCGTCGACTCCTCTCGCGGGCAGAACGGGAAGTTTTTTAAAACTACCCGGAGAACCGGGATATTTTGATTCTGTATCTTCTGCACTTTCTGGCGAGAGCTCAGAAATGTACTCAAGTTCTGACGACGAAGACGATGAAAGTTCTGACCAAAAGACCGACACAGAAAAGTCAATAGAAACGACCAGCTCAGTCGTACGCTCTGTTATGAATCAAAAAATCGATCCAGTATTCATCGCGCAAATGGAAAGAAAATTGAGCATTCTAGACAATACGTCTTCTAACCCCTCAAAAGATAAAACTTTAGAGGAACAACATTCTAGTTCAACACATTTAAATGATGATCATTACAATGTATCTAATGTTAGCAGTAGTAAAATAAATACATCCGAGGAAAAATCACTGACGAAAGAAATACAACATTTTTCTGACAAGGAATCTACGTTCGTACCTAAGAATTCAACTACACATCATTTCAAATTCCACAACCCTTTCCTTAGTAAAAAAACTCAAAGTATTAGTGCCCCTTCATCACCTGTAGAAAACAGAGGCTTTGTATATCGCTCATCGAAAAAAATAAAACGTCAACTGTCTAAGCTCTCTAAAAGTAACATGATCAAAAGTCTTTCACATTATTCCTTGATTCCTAAGAAAAAACAAATTGAAATGAAAAGTCATATGAGTCAGCCTAGTTCCTCATCTGACGTTGCCTCAAAAGCACCTAGTGAGACAGTACTGGGATCTCCATTTTTATCTTATGCAGATTTGCTCAGCTTAGATAAAGAGGGACTCCAATATAATAAACTACACAAAAGTGATGAATTCCCACATTCAAAAGTATCCATGTACATAGGATCAGAATCAGAATCCCGAGCTTCTTTCAGTGCTACTTCTATTTATGATGATATACATTCTAACCATCATCATCCTCATAAAAAGGAGACTTTAACGTCCACTGGCTTAGTACACACTGCTATGGAAATTATACTCATGGATAAAGTTCAGTCTTTGCTTATACCGACATCTCCTGATCCTGTACAAAAAGAAAAAAAATTCTTCGATGACGTTACTGAAAAATTAGAACGGGTTGAAGAATTACGACATAACAAATCTAAGAATACGGACTTAGTACATATTTCTACGAACACTTCACCAATAAATGAAGTTCAATCGCAGATTCCATCGACTTCGCCACGTTACAGTCCCATTAAAAGCACCTTGGAATCTGATAACATTTATTCTGAAAATAGTTTAGAACCTCACCCGTTAAAAAGTAGTAGTCCTAAACATAATAATAAAGATAAATTCCAAGAACCCACGGGCATAGTTCATACTGCTATGGAAACCATGCTCATTGACAAAGTTCAAGCTATATTTGCTGGACCGGTGCCCTTAATAGCAACTGAAAATAGTGATATTGCTGCTGTGGAAAGAACTAAGGGTACAGGAAGTTCTAAGGAAGGAGAACTGATGGGAAGTATAAATAAATCTTTGATTGATAGTAGTGATGTGAATGATTCCGATCATAACGCTATTGGAGAATCTGTGAAGGATAAAATACACGAGTCGTCGAGTAATACTGAAAAAGAATCTTCTATTCTAAGTAAAGTACAATCCTTATTTAGTGCCAAAGATAAAAAACATGATGAAAATATGAAAAACGAGGGACTAGTACATACTGCTGTTGAAGTCATACTTTTCGATAAAGTTCAATCATTACTTCCTAGCACTGATAAAAAAGACAATGATGATATTTGTAAGTCTAAATTAGAATTGAAAAAGTCTATATCAAAAGATAGGAAACTCGTTCGTCAAGACAGCATACACTCAGTTTCGGAAAATGATGAGTCTTGTAAAATTTCTAACGCAGTAGAAAGTAGTTGCAAAAGAGCACGAGCTCCCGTTTTACAAAATTTCCATCCCATACTTAGCGGCGCAGTATTAGAAACCATACCTTCGTTGCCTGAAAGTAGTTTCGATCGCACCGATAGTTTAGATGCCAATCGTACAGATACTTGTTGTCTTTGTGAAGTGTGTGGTTCCATCGACACTAACCGCGCTAGTGTGTGTGGTAACTCGCATGCAGTGTGCGATGTCTGCAGGTGCGAACGGGACAGAGATAAGGGAGAGAAGGAAAAGGGGTCGCCACGTCACGCGCGCCACGAGTCGTACGGTAGTCGTGAGCCAGTAGTGACATCACATGCGCAAAACTCGTCATTGAATGCATCGTCTACTCCGATGGGAATACATCGGAGATCTTCGGATTCTGATCTCAGTGTGACGCCAAAGGGTAAATATATTACTCGATTGCACATTCTCATTCTATATGTTATTGTAAACTTTGAATATTGAATATTGAAATAAAATACATATGAAACATAAAGTAAAATTTTAACTTGATGATGTTTATCAAATCCTACACTCATTTAATATTTGCCCATCCCCCAAATAGATATACGTTAGAGTTTGCACCATTTCTGTTGGCAGGGGGTATCTTTTAACTTACTAGAGCATGCAAGTGCCTTAATACAAAGTTGTACAGTTATTTATGTACACAATAAACATCCGCAATATAACACTTGATTACATTAAATACTACCTTTACAAACATTTCATATTTATAAAGTACAGACGTCAATAATTTAATATTTAATTTCTTAGGTAGCTCTCTAAATGCACCAGCTGTAAACACAGGAAGCGGCGGCGGCGCCATTTTGCGCCCCTCGATGAACAGTAACAATTTGGAAATGTTAGAATATCCGTTCTTAACCATGACCGAGTATCCGCCAGGATTTATCGTTCATATCGGTTGGTATTTTTCATATTATTATATATTTTCGTGTTCGAATGATAATTAAGTTATGATCTGGCGTAAATATATTTTTTGTTATTCAATATACTTTTTAAATTTATTACACTTGATAATTACAAAAACTATTAAACTTTGTTTAAATAAATTTAACTTGCATATAACCTTACGAGACGGAGGAGCCAAAAGCGACTATTTCATAGTTTTTAAAGAAATACGGAACGCTTTCTCATCAATATTATTAATGTTGAGATTTTATTTACGATAAACTCTTCTGAATATCTTTTTCTAAGTCATATTCATTATATTTGAATCGTATTATAGGACGGGTACTATAAAACGATCGAACAAAGCGATCATATAATTTGAAGGGTTACGACATAAAATATTATTTTTTGTAAATATATATGTAAAAGAACTCGGGAGCCCCAGCTTTACATCGTAAGAGTCTTAGGCGAGATCATCATACGGTCTAGGGGAAGATCATCATCGTCTAAACCCATTTTCTACTGGAGCGGTATAAGATTCCTCGATGCACCAATCCGATCTGTTGGCAACTCGGATCCAGCTCGGGCATATTTGGTCCTTCCACGGTTCTGTTCTGCACCATGAGTCGCCCTCCCTTTACCCTCCGGGTACTCTACCTTTCGGGGGAGGAGACCCCGAACAGTCGTGGGTCAGACGATCCTCCACAGTAGTGTTAATCGTGCGACAGGCGGCACGGTGTGCGCGCGCTCCGTGAAGCTGGTGGACGGCGGCGGGGGCGTGGGCGCGGCGGGCGCGGGGGGCGGGGAGCGCGCCGCGTGGTGGGCGGAGCTGCGCACGGAGCTGCGGGCGCACGCGCGCGCGCTGCGCTGCAACGCCGTCATCGCGTACACGGACACCGCCGCCATATGGTATCACTCTCCGTCTGTGCATGTCGCGGGTCTATCGTTGAATTGGACCGATCGAGATCTGCCCGGGCAGGTCACGATATGCCGCCGTTTCTCGATTTGGCCGTGTATCATCAACGACGCGGGTTTTCCTCCTTCCGCCCATCTCTGTATGTGAGCAAATAAAATTAAGTTTAAATAATAATTATTTAACTGGTAATTAAAAAGGTTGTTATAATTCATTTTTACCAACGTTTCAAAATTATCTTAAATTTAAATACAATCCAAGTATAATCTGAAGTACATAGAATCACATATTTCTTAATTAATATTTTCACAGCTCAGTGTCAGTTACCTGTAGACGATGCTGTATAAATGCTGTATAACCGTTGATGATGGTGAAAAACAAAGACGGATTTCTTCTATAGACGATTTATTGTATTTTCTTCTTACTGGCTACTTATTACTGCTTGACTACACTGCTTGACTGACTTGACTACGAATATGTACAAATTTGGCCCTACCCTTATCCTAAACTTACTATCTAACTTAGATACTAGTGACGCGCGGCGGTCGACCAATCACAGCGCGTTTTACGCCCGCGCGCCGGGTGGGGGAATCGCCCCACCGTGCGGACGGCGCCCACGCAGCCAATGGGCTTCCCGATAATTCAGCTAATGTAGGCGCTGTGATTGGTCGTTCGACTCGTTCATTTTTCGGCACGTGGCTGTCGTCAACAGTTACCCTTTTGTTATCGTCGATCTGCCAAACTTTTACCCGGGCCGATCGAGATTTTCCTGGCCAAATCAAGAAATGGCGGCATTACGTGATGTGCCGGGGCGGATCTCGATCGGCCCCAATCAACTATTGACCCTTGACATGTATATATTTACGCCGTATCCCTGAAAAGACCGAACGTCTCAGGACCCCGTCCTCGAAGTTCATTACTTTCTTCTTAGGTAGTCATCAATTTTCGTTGTCATCTGCTATCTATACTTCTGTACTAATATTATAAAGAGGAAAGATTTTATTGTTGGTATGTTTATTTTAATCGAATGGAATCGAATGAAATTTCTTATTATAAGTGTATGCCTTTTTTTTGCTATAGTGAGGACGTTTGCGTGTTATCCGCGTCGGGAACTGCGGCTGTTATCAATTTGGACTGCGATTTCAATGCTGAAATTGATGCTGCTATTTCAGGTTAACTCCCTATAAATAAAAATCTCATTTGATTTCTATGCATGTTTGTACATAAACCACATAGAAAAATAACTTTTTATTTTTTTACAATTATTTCATTGTCACCTGAGTATTTCCGATTACAATTTTACAATTCTCATTTATGTGTGAAGATTAGAATATAATATGGATTTTGAACTTATCATACAGTGAGCAATGGCACAAAAAGTACTATAGAAGAAATGGAAATGGACTCATGCTCAGTTGCGCACGTCCCGTACTCCCCTGGTGCGGGCCCTTACAGGGCCGAACTCTCCACCTGCGGGGGATGTAGGTAAGTATCAAAAGATAATAAATGTAAAATGGGCTATTTGGTTATTCTATTACACATATCTATAATAAAACTGCTTTAATTAAATTTGGTTTATTTGTATTTCATTTCTGAAACAACTGTCCAAAACTGGATTGTATTGTGTTTAGAGTTAATGTATGTATGTCACGTTAAAACTGTTTTGATCAATCCAGTCACTTGTTCACTTCACAATAAGATTCTAAATGCATTGGTCTAGATAGATAGGGTATTGTATATAAGAACTTTCTATAAAATAAAAGGCATCCGCTCCATATAAGTTATGGGGCTGTGGAATGTCACAAGTTATATTTTCAGACGTGCCCGTGTTCCCGCCGTACTGTTAGCGACATGTTCCAAACCGAACAGACTTTTGTCCTATCCTAAAGCAGTCACGCTCACCGCTGTTGGTGAGTTCTTATTATAATTATTATATTACACTAGACTTCTCGTATAATCAGTGGTTGGAATTGGTATATTATATTGGGGTCATTAATTTGAAACGTACACATTAATATAGACATTCAATCGGAATTGATAAATTTAATGTATATTTTTCTTAGAACTAAGGACGATTATGTATAAAAAACTGAAATCTTCAAAATTGTTCTGGTTGTAAAGAATAAAATAGGATCTAACGACAATAGGTTAAATAGTAATAAATAGTTTTGATATCGTGCTTTCAATTTTAAATTGAATAGCAATAATATAATTATCAACATAAAGAAAACGCAGTTACATCCGGAAATACTTTACAGAAGAATGTCTTATCCATGTTATTCTTTCTAACGGTCGGTTTCTGAATTGGGAAAAGTACAGAAACACAACTACTTACTTTTAATAACGTTTAACACAGCAAAAAGTGTTAATTTTATCAAACTTCTATCAACTGATCATTAAAAATTAAATAAAAATATGAAAACCTGTGTGACATTTAAGTTGGTTTAAGTAAGATTTCATACGTATGTAAGACTATTTATGTACGAAAAATTACTTTTACCTACTCCGATCACTGGTTTTTTTTTCTGAAATTCATCTGAAATATTAATATACATTGCAAGGTTGGTTATAATAAGGTTGGTTATAAAACATTAGTAACCTCGCAGAGCAATAGATAGTGTTAAGAACAACTTTAGTTTTGATAATTTGTTACGTTTTAGTTTCATTTTAAAAATTCATTTAATTCGAGTGTAGCTCTAGGAGCTCTAATGATAAAAAGTAACCTACATATATGTTAATTCAGGCTTATGATTATCCATACACCAAATTTCATCAATATTCGAGTGAAAGAGTAATAAACATACATCCATCCTCACAATATATAATATTAGAAGGATGTTAAAACACGTAAATAAAACGTCGGTTATGATCTGAGCTAATTGGCTAATTTTAAAATCTCACTGATCCTTTAAGGTTAGTGGTGTATTACAAAGTTATCGATTGATTTGTGTATTAGCGGCTCGCACTCGTCGCGCACCTCCCGCGGCTGAACCCGGCGCCAGGGATATATCCGATCAGTTACCGTTCTTGGAATACGAACTACACAAACTACTGTTGGCCAAACTAAGGATGCAGGTATTTGTGTTGTTATATTTCTTTGATCGGTTTCCATGTGAAACCAAACATTTTTATCAAACAATTTTAAACCTTATTGTCACTTGACTTATTTTGTTTTTTATAGTTATCAATCATATCATAATTACCAATAAATTATTGTAGTCTGTTATGATTGTTGTCAAGTTGTATGTATCTACGTTAAATTGAGTGCTATATTAATAACAAACGATGTATAAAAAATAACGAATTTGATTCATTAGCATAACGCCAAACAATAACCTAAAAACATATATTTTTTTTTTACAATTTCTTGTTTATTCATTGCAAAATAATAGAAGATAATGTCGTTTCGCAGGGTGCAAACGCGTTATTTAATCTACAAACTCAAATAACTATCGGTGAACGATGCGTGATGGCACTCGCTAGTGGCACTGCCGTGAGACTTACTGCGCTGCCGCCGCCGGCACCGCCAAGGATCAAAGTAAGTTATAGGACAAAACATTAAACAGATCATAATATCTCATATTAAGCTTTTTATCAGATACGATTATATATTAATGCAACATACGTTCATATAGTAATATAGATGATTAAAATACATCATACGTTACAGGCTACAGAAAATGAAAAAGAGGCTTTAGAAATACAAAAAGCTCTATGGGACTCCTTTACTGCTAATAAAATTGCCAACGGATATGATGTAGGTAAGTAAAGTTTACGAATATAAGGACTATTTCTTGCAATCGAAACTAACTAACAGCATTATAATTTCATAAAAAGAAAAATATTTGAATATTTAAAAATAAAACACTATAAAGTTCAATTACGACCAGTAGCTGAAATGAATTTTTTGCTGTTATGGGTTTAGTTGGTAGCTTCATTGTTTTAAATTTCCATAATCCAAGAGCTTAATTATTCTTAGCTACTTTAGTTACTTGAGATTTGAGCAATATGTATCACGTTGGCTCATATTTAGTCGTATTTAACTAAAACACATTATTTGAATTTGTACTAGTTGTAACAAAATCAAATTGTTTTGTCGTTGCAAGTATACTATAACAATGTATACCACCTTAAACAGAAAACCTATTTATAGGTGGGCCTGAACACACTAATGGCACCCTTCCAGAAGTAGAAGGAGAGGATCCTCCAGCCTTAGACTTATGTGCCGATAAAGACGCTTGTGTCTTAGAACTGGATGAGGCTGAAGATGTAAGTGGAGAATAAATTTCATGTCATAAATGACATAGCAGTCCTTATTTCTTTACAGTTATAACTGTCGGTAAATTTTTAAATGCTTTCGATACCATGTACATTGTTGTTTTTATGATATTATAAGAGTATTTTTGTTTGGGTAATAGAAAAATATAAAATATAGGTCTTGTATTCAATCTAATCGGAAATCATGTAATTTAATTATTTACAATTGAGTCTTTAGAAAATGCAACCAGATAGAAGTTTCACAAGGTTCTTAAATAGGGCCACAATTTTATTAGTAAATAAAGTCACTCGATAGCAGTATGCGCGTTCTTAGATTGCTGTTAAATATAATTGAAATAACCTGGTTGTTTTCCTATCAAATTGTTTATATATCTTATTTAAAAAGGTGGAAACAGCTCGCACACTCGCAACGCGTCGTTTACATACTCGTTTGCAAGTATTCACCAATGCTCTAAAGCCGCTAAAGGGTGCGCCGCCGTATGCCTTCACTCAGGTATGTCACTGTAGAATTCGTTATTTATATGAATAAGTTTTTGATTCGTAAAATGTAAAAATATAGAATTAATTTGTAAAATATTGTTTTCTGAATAAATGTATCAATGAAGTCGATATGTTGAAAAGAAGATAAAAAAAAGTGTTATTACTGCAGCCATCTTATGAAGCTCAGTAATTTATTAGACAGATATTTTTTTTAAAAATACATGAAAAAATTAACTTAAATAAAAACTGAAAAGAAATAACTTAAATAAAAACTAAAAAGAAATAACTTAAATATAAAACTAAAAAGAAAGAAACAAGCCCAGTAGTTTAGAATTCTGTTAAGTAATACAGAACAGAACGACTCATAGTCGGGGCTTCTTGGGAAGATTTGATTGGTAAAATTTGAATGGGCCCTATTTTTTAAAATTTGTTTTTACGCAGTCGGGTTTTTTGTTTTTCTTTAAATTATTTATTTTATCCTTTTTTTTTTGTTTGTATATCTTTTATACTTTAAATAAAAACTTAAATTAATAAGTAAGAAAATTAGCGAATATGATTGTTTTGTTAAGCAACTTTAAATCCTAATACATCCTAAACTATTATTTTAAATGAAAAGTGATAAAAGAAACCTAAAGATGATTTTAACATACCTATTCAACGACACCCCACTTGACATAGTTCGTCGATTTTTTTTCATTTTGACAATATGGCGTCTGGTTGTCGCTGTGGTGAATTTTGATTACTGTCATGTCTTTAGTGACACTCGCAAGGTTAAGACGAATCGATTGACGTAAGAATCATCAAAATCGACCGACGCATTTTGTCTGTAGAACGCCACATAGAAACAAACATACATACATACATAGACTGATAAACACATTATCCTCTTTTGCGTCGCGCAGTCGGGTTAAAAGGAAAGAGTATACAAATTTACAGGTTCCTATTTATTATTCGCTTTCAAATAATTAATATCGCTAATTTGAATTTTAAGATTTTGAAGTTGACATTCCAGAAATGTATGGCGTTTTGGAATCGAAAATAGATCCTAAAATAATCTTTTTCCAGAGCAGAGAAAAAAAAAACGGGCCAAATGCGAGTCGAACTCGCGCACGAAAGGTTTCGTACCGGAAACGGACAAAAAATCCGCTACGATATCGGACGCCTCTTAAATATTATGTTTATTCTAGTTTTTAGCATCTGTTGCCGAAGCGGTCACAAAAATACATTATCTGTGAAAATTCCAACTGCTTTGACCGGTTCATGAGATACAGCCTGATCACAGACTGATAGAAAGCGAAGTCTCAATAATAGGGTTGCCGTTTCACCCTTTTAGTATGGAATCTCAAAGTATTAAACACAGGTCTATGTTGGACGTCAGGTGTGGCGGGGGAAAATCGGTGGCGGGGGCGGTGGTGCGGGGGGCGTGCGGGGCGCGGGGGAGCGGCACGTGGCGCGCGCGCTGGACGCGCTGGCGTACAAGCTGCGGCGGCTGCAGCCCGCCGCGCTGCTGGCCGCCACCTTCCGGCTCGACCTGCCCGACGTACGTCCAACACAACATTAGATTATAATTCTCCACTTACGTTCCCATACAAAGACGCCCTAGCTTGATTTTATTCGTTTTTAATCACAGAAAAAAAAAACAAAATAATCTTTATTCAAATAGATTTCTTAAAAGTACTTTTAAATCGTCCAACATTTTTTTCCCTACCGCTCGTTCGGGACGTCTTTTGGCTGATAAGAAGAACGGGCAAGAAACTCACCAGCTCTAATAGGAGTAATGACATTTACAAAAACCATGTCATTGCCAGATCAATACATTATAAATAAAGAGAGAAAAAAAAGGAACTATGGTCTTATAATGATAACATAATCATTCAATAATAATGGAAGCAAGATAATTTTTGATATATAATGAGTTAAGAAGTAATCACATATCCAGTTGCTGGATCATCTCAAGTCCAAGCATTCTTATCTGTTATATAATCGGATACCTTATAATAAGCTTTTTTAATAAGTATTATTTTAATAGTAGATTTAAACTGCATGATATCTAATTGCTGTATTTTGCTTGGGACCTTATTGTAGAAGCACACAAAGACCCTTGAATGAATTATTAAATTTTTGCATTCTAGTGATAGGCACCCTTAATTTATTTTTATTTCTTATATTAATATTGTGTACATCACTTTTTATAGAAAAAAAACTAATATTTTTACGAACGTACATTAACGAACTAAAAAACAATTGCAGTTTTAACAAATTGTAAACAAAAAGTATATCGAATTACCTATTTTTATACATATTTGTTTTGCAGTCAAGATGATTTATCTTTGCGATGTTTTTCTATCGAGTAAATTAATGAAATATATTATTATATTTAATCAATTGTGCATTTTTTTAATGAAAGGAATATTTTTCAGTATACGTATTGCCTGAACACGGATGAAAATATTCTCTGTAGTAGCGACGAGTAACAAGTGCTTGAAAAATTTGGCAATCCCGCTAGGTCCCGGGTAGCTCTGTGGTTAAAGCAGTCACTCGGATTGCCAAAGGTCATGGGATCGAGTCTCATCTCAGAATGCCAGGGGCAAAGTGGATTTTTTAAGAATTTTTCAGTAATGAAATGTATTTTTCTGTTTTTAGCGAGCGATCGATCATATGTTATACTAGTGGCCGCCAGCGACTTCGCCCGCGTTTTGCATTATTTCTTCGCTCCTAATAGTTGCAACGTGATGTTATATAGCCTAAAGCCTTCCTAGATAAATTCAACACAAAAAGAATTTTTCAATTCGTACCAGTAGTTCCTGAGATTAGCGCATTCAAACAAACTCTTCAGCTTTATAATATTAGTATAGATTTGTGACGGTCGCCACTTCGAGATAAATAATGAGCATCGGTTAACTTCGCGTTTCTAATGCTCCACACATCTTACACGGCCATGCCCATTTTTTCTTCGCAGTGACAGCCATGATATCTCTAACTGGAGACTCACCACGGAACCAATAATTTCGTTTTTGAACCCGCCGGATGAAATATTTTCTTTGTTATATTAAAGGATCGTTTCCAATGTTTCCTGGTCCCCATTATTTGATTTTATCCATAGAGAAGGTATATTTCCCAGTAGTAGGCTAATGATAACGGTACGCAGATGGCATAGATGGTTCAAAGTTAGAAAAACTGTTCCATCTGATCACTATAGACGCCTAGCTAATTTATTTGCATCAAAATCTATATAAAGAACCATTCTTCCAGGATGAGATTCAACTTGTAGTATCCGGGGCAGCGACCCGCTTGCAAGATCCCAACAAACCGGAACCGGCAGAGAACGGTCACGCAGTTCATTCGAGTCAAACGGGACAGACCAGTCAGGGTCACGGCAATGGGACCGGCGATGTGGACGACGAGATATTTACGCTGGATGAAGAGCAACTGGTGAAGTCCACTCATTCGGAACCGGTCGAAGAAAAGCCTGTTGTCAATGGACAGGTATTATCACTATATTAATGTTATATCACTACATAGTGTAAAACAAAGTGCCTGTGTCCCTATGTATACTTAACTCTTTAAAACTACGCTATTCAAAAAGAAGGTTTTTATTTATAATACAAGACCACGCGAGCGAAGCCGCTGGCGGAAAGCTTTATATATAATACGATATTTGACTTATTTTTAAATTATTCTTCATTACATAATAAGCACATTATAACATTAATATTTCAACGAAATTAACTGTATTTGTCAATGAAATTCAAAGTAAAAGTTTAACTTTCCGGAACCGCGCGAAAAACACTGGGTCTGTCATACGCCGCCATTACGCCTCGTATGACGTCACACGATAGTAAATAAACAAACCTCATCAAACTAAAATCGTCAACAAAAAGCCAAATTAACTAGCGTGCGACGTCAACGGAGTTGCAACGACTTATAAGGCGTTTGCGTATCAGATAAAATGTCAAAAAATATTTATTTTATGTGATCTGAAAAAATTATGCATTATTTTGTTTTAAAATAAAATGAAATATGTTTGATTACGCCGTTTTTGGGATGACCGCAATTTTTAATATATTTTTCATGTTGTCAAATACCCTATTGCATATAATATCATATATTCAAGCAATCTATCTAAACAGTCTAATAAAATATTTCTAGTTTCGATTATCTTAATCGGGAACGTGTACCAATGTAATATACATAATTGATAAATTTTGCATATTTCTTTTATAACAAAAAAAATCAAGAGTTGTCTGAAACGGAATTGGAACTTTTCTTTCAAATTTAAACAATTATGATTCTTTTATTATACTCGTATACCTATACCTATTTGTGATTATGTTGTTGTCTCCTAAACTAAACTATTGTATACGTGTGGCAACTTGTGGTGTTATATATTTTTTGACCGTGACTGTACATATGAATGGTCGCAACCTTGATAATATTTGTATTTTCACCTGGTTATCACCTGTTGTGTATATCTTAATAAATAAAATAAATTAATTAATGAAAGAAATATATTTTTTTCATATTTTTTAAATGACGTCATACATCCGACAAATTGAATATTAAAAAAAAATACTTGGGTTGATGGTAGGTTTTTTTCAAAAGAGGTAGTCGAATAATAAACTCCCATTACATACATACATTAACGCTAAGCACATTACACTTCCTATTTTCGCAATCATCTAAAAAGAAATAAAAAATTGAAATCGTGAAGTTTTTTTGATTTATAATATTATTTTATTTCAATATTTAATCAATGACATTTCCAAAGCTCAAAAACGCCATCGAGTATTTAATGAAAATGTTTGTCTAAAGTTTCGGGGTTAATTTAAAAATAAGTCACAATTTACAAAAACTATTCTATATTCAATAAGGCAAAATTAGTAATATATTTTTGATCCTTACCGTGATGAACGCTAGAATTTACCATTTTAAGCAAAAATCACAGTTAAAATTTAATAGGGCCCTTAACGGTAAAAACAAAATGAACTCGTGCGATTTAACCATTACATCGGCGGTTGCGCGACTACTGCAGACGCCCCTGGCGGTGCCCCTGGCGGTGCCCCTGGCGGTGCCGCTGACGTCGCTGTGCTGCGTGGGCGGGGCGCGCGCGGTGCGGCGCGTGTGCGCGCTGCGGCTGCTGTTCGTGCGCGAGACCACCACCGTGCGCGAGCTGGGCGGCCTCAGCGGGTTCCTGCACACCTTCACTAGCGAGGTGAGGCAGCCCTATCCCGTAATAGCTACGATACGAGTGCGGAAAGTAAGCTTTTACGAATAAGGGCCAAAACCTTTTGCGCTCAAGTTACTTACAACATTTTTCAATGCTTTTTGCGAGGAAATAAAACAAATATATAGGTTAATAAAAATAAGTATGTATTAAAGTAACTAACTACGTGACTAACTACTAGTATGTAACTAACTATGTATGTATGGGTCATGGCCCATCCTCCTTAACCATCCATAAGGAAGGCCTGAGCCCCTGCAGTGGGGACGTAAAAGGGCTGGTGATGATGATGATGTATTAAAGGTAAAAATTATTTGTAAAAATCAAATGTGATATTTGAACATGTTTTCGTGTCATACATTTTTATTTGAAAATATTCGTTCTAGGCTCCTTGAAATACTTTTGCTTCTAAAGTTTGATATATTTTCATCAATTTTTTTTTTTATTTCTTTGGTGCTCGGCCAAAAAAAAATAAAAAATACTTTTAGACACGTGTGCAGTAAAGGATTTCAGTACATTTTTATTTAACACGTGTTTAAAGACTCACTTTCGCTGTTTACAATAGATTAAAAAATAGCACTTTATGAACAACTGCATTAAAAAAAAACCTTCCTTACGGAGAGTACTGTTCGCGAGGGAGACCATTTCCTACCTAATCTTCAATCGGCTATTTGAAGCTTTTCTGAAAACTATTTTGAATGGTCGTTTGTTACATTATAAATACACTGTCGATATATTTCATGAGAATCAGTTTTATTTTTGATAAAAATAATTGTTAGACTGTTAAAATCCAAAATCGCGCAGAAAACGCGTGATCACGTGATATTTGTAACGTCACATAAATATGTCAAGGCGACATAACCTATTTATTTATTAATAATAGTATTGCAGAAGAGATATCGAAGTTAAATTTAAATTCGTCGTTCATTAAAATTCCTAAAAATGTTGCATTTTCTTTATGTTATTTTACTAAAGCTGAACATATTTTATCTGCTGATTCTAAGAAATAAACTTTATTAGATTATTATCTAACAGGATGACCATAATACGCAACTTATTTTTAATAGTGTCAAATATCCTGTTAGATTTATATCGTGTTATTTTTTAAATAGACCCTTAATTCGGCATCAGTGATAGTATTTCACAATTGTTTAACATACCCGGCTATAATATGTACACGCAACTACGGTCTTATAAAAGAGGTGGCGGAATTGTAATTTATGTCAAAAATCATTTGAAATTTACAATATCAAAAAAAAATGCTATACCTTCGAAAGTCTGTTTGGTATATTAAAACTAGGATACAATACAACCTTAGTTGTGTGTGCTATCTATAGACCACCGTCAAGTAACAAATCCTTTTTTATAAAAGAACTACGTAGGTGTATTTCCGCTTTCGATCTGAAA